CCACTGCTCGCTTCCCGGCCAGGCTCTGGGAGGCAGAGTCTGGATAGGAAGCGAGCAGCGGGGATGGACCCCACGCCGGGAGGCAGGAGACCAGGAAATTCAAATGGCCTCCCGGCCAGGCTCAAGCCTCCCAACGCTGGGCCATCCCCGCCGCCACTGCATCCCTTTCCCAAACCATTGGGGTGAAAGAGCTACAAAGAAGCAGTCTCTTAGCCACCAATGGTTTGAATTTTTCCCCCTTTTCCCCTGCCTTTTTTTTGTTTGTTTGTTTGTAAGTCAAAGCTCCATTCGCAAGTCAAAGCAAAATTTTCAGAACTGAGCTGTTCGTAAGTCAAAATGTTTGTAAGTCAAGGCACCACTGTATTCCTCCAAGTGACACTCCAAATGTTTTGGGCTACAATTCCAAACAGTCCCAGCCAGGAGCAGATCACTATGAAACTAATGAAACAAAAGCTTCTGTACCCCTAATCCCAGAGGAGCCAAAAATCAACTTTTGTCCACATTTTCAAAAGATTTGTGGTGATCTGTCATGAAACAACCCCATTGAAGAAGATAAGAATGGTTACCCAGAACTTGTTGCTGGTTGTGAAGGGCCTCCCATAACAATTCAAGCTTTAGGGCCCTAAACATTTAGGTCCAGCAGTAGTCCCAGACAGTATAGTTAATGGTCAGGGATAATGGTGAAGAGTGCCATGGACTAATTCCTGGCTTTTGCCTGTCTCTGTCACACTGATCAATCAACCAGAGGCAGAGAGATCCAATAGATATTTGTTTGTTTTCAGCTGAAAGCAAGAAATTAGATGCAAACTTCACTCGCAGAATCGTATACATTTTTATAACGCAAACATGAAAGAGGGGCTAAGGGGGGTTGGGAGAAGGAGGAGAAATGGGAGGAGTTTCTGCAGATGTCTGTGCTTGTGGACAATAATTCATTCTTCTCAGCTCCATGTCAGGCTCCTGGTTTTCTCCAAGGACAAATTTGCAATTAGAAACATGTAATTGAAAGGAACTCAGATGGTCGCCCTCTCCTCCCTTATTCATTCCTGCCTGCCTAAGCAAAAAAAAAAACACCCTTAATATAAATGATTTATACATTCATATAGCAAAGCAAGATACAGAAAGCAAGATGGCTATGGTTAGGCTAATATATATATTTTATACATATTAATTTGAGCCCATCAATGGGAATACTAAATAAATAAATAAATAAATATAAAATCTAAATAATCTAAAGCAGCTGTGGGCTTGAATATCCATTTACCACTCTTGAAACATTTGCTCTTCAGTTCATACCTCACCCAAGCTTTTGTGTCCCTTTCAAATTCCCCAAACATTTACTTCTCTGCCTCTCCACATCCCTGCAAATAAAAGAAAATCTGCATTGATTTCATTCTTTTAGAGACACATAACTGGTAACTATCTCATTGACTTGTCAACTTTTAACCTGAGTAAATATTTGGCTTGATTTTTTTAAAAGGTGGAAAAACAGTGTAAAGCTAAGAGGTATTGGAAGGAAGGAAGGTGGAAATGAGGAATATGTGAGGACCTGGAAGACTGAAATAAAGAGAAGGAGGTTGGAATCAGTAGCAAAAAAGTTTAAATCCTTATTGAATAAACATGCGAACAACAACACCAATAACAATCTGATTGGATTCCAGGATGCCATGGGAAGGGATACTGGCTTATTGACTGATTGATTGATTGATTGATTGATTGATTGATTGATTGATTGATTGATTGTATTTATATGCCGCCCATCTAGACATAGTCTACTCTGGGCGGCTCACAACATATACTAAAACAATATAAAATATTTAACAGTTAAATTAAAATAAATAGTTCCAGATGGCATAAATCAAAAGAGAAAAAAAAATAAGAGTCATTTAACTGACTGAAGGGAAGGCCTGCTTGAATAGCCAAGTTTTCAAGTGGCTTTTGAAGATGCCCAGCGAGGGTGCCAGCCGAATTTCGGTAGGGAGGGTGTTCCACAGTGGCCCTCTCAAAGCTCAAGTCACTGTCTGGTACACCATAGGAACTCGAGCAGCCAACACAATCACTCCCAAGTGCCCTGTTCAATGCTGAGCCCATTCTGTTCCCCATGATATACACAAGAACTAAGGGGACACGTCCACTTCATATGGAAAGAAATGAAATACTGGATGAAATACCAAAATCACAAGTAAAACATTCTAAATATTCATTGGGTCTTGAGTATGTGGTTACATCTCACATGCAGTAATTTATGGCCTATGTTTGGTGTTAAGTTCTATTGTAAACATTGCTATAGGAGACAGAAAAGAGATAACCAGGCATGAACAAAAAAGAGTGGGGGGTTTTGGTGAGGGGATGAGGATATCATTTAAAACTCAAGAGGGAGGAAGAGGGGTAGACTGAGATAGTTAGAGACAGAGGTTTATGTATTGTGGTTTCTGATGTCCAATTTATTTATTTATTTATTGGATTTTTACCGCACCCCTCTAGACCATGTCTACTCGGGGCGGCTTACATAATTTGTGTTGTGCTCCATTGATCCATTTCCATATTGTCCTGTTTGGCCTGCATAAAGTGCAGAGGGGTATTGTTGGCGAAAGATGACATAGAACACATTAGCTGAGGAACAAGTGAAGGTTCCTTTGATATTGTGTGTGGCATTGTTAGGTCCTGTGATTGTGTCGACAAAATAGATGTGTGGGCAAAGTTGGCACCTGGGTCTGTGGCAGGGTTTAGTCCCTTTGTCTGTTTTGTTCTTGGTCCATTGTGTGTTGGTACAGTGGTGCCTCGACTTACAAACACCCCTACCTACGAACATTTAGACTTACGAACAGCTCCGCTCGCAAAATTTTGCTTTTGAAGCGAGCGGAGCTTCAACGTAAGAACAGAAAAAGGCAGGGGGGAAAGGCGGGAAATCCAAACCGTTGGTGGCGAAGAGCTGTTTCTTTGTAGGTCTTTCGCCCCAACGGTTAGAGCAGGGGGTCAGGGAACTTTTTTACTCCTGCGAGGCAGGAGGAGGAAGGAGAGGCAGGGGCGGCTCCAGATCACCGCGGGGCGCAGGAAGCCGGTGTGTTCCCTGCCCATCCCTGGTGGGGCCTACTCATGAGTAAGGTCTGCAGAAGATGTGGGTCTACTCATGAATAAGGGCCCCCAAAGGCACTGGGCTGGGGCGTGCGGGTCAGAGGGGCTCCTTCATGGACGAGGTGTGCAGTGGCGGCACAGAAGGAGGAAGGAGAAGTGGAGCGGCTCCAGTTCGCTGCCGGGCACCGGAAGCCGGTGCGCTCCCTGCCCATCCCTGGTGTGGGTCTATTCATGCGTAAGGCGTGCCAAAGGCATGGGTGTACTCATGAGTAAGGGTCCTCCACCACCTCAGCTGCCCTACACGTCGGCCGGGGCCTGTCACTGGTCACCATCCGAGGAGTGCCATCAGAGGAGGCTTCAGTCTGCCTGGTAAGGTACTGCATTTTGCTTTTTAGAGACTGCAGGGTGGGTTTCAGCTGAGGTTTATGTTTCTGTGCTGTTTGTTTTTGGTGTGGTTTTTTTGGCATCCTTCAGGGCTTGCTCTTTTTATTTTTGGTGGTGGCTGTTTTTTTTAAGCTCCAGCACCTTCTGATGGGGCTCTCTGTGTGCTTGAATTTTTATTTATTTATTTATTTATTTGTTTGTTTGTTTGTTTGTTTATATTTGAAATGCTGGAACAGATTAATCCCTTTCCCATGCATTTCAATGGGAAATGGTGCTTCAGCTTATGAAAATTTCGAGTTACGGCCACCGTTCCAATACGGATTAATTTCGTGGATTGAGGCACCACTGTATTTGCTTCAGGCTGGATGTAGGCAAGTATGGGTCTCCCACCAAGGGCTTTTGAGAGCGAAGTGTTCTGAATGAGAGACTGAATGAGAGAGTTATAATGCTGAATAAACAGTGGATTTCCTAAGATGACCTAATGAGGCTAGAGCAGTTAAGTTGCAGCAGCTGGAGTACAGTTAGCAGTATGTTCTGTTATGTATATATACTCTAATGATGTTTTAGGATCACATGTATTTTACATTAAAGTCCACATGCACATTCATGGACCTGATCCAGATCAGAACACATCCTTCCCCTTGATTTTTTAATTTTTTTCATTTTTCACTCCACTTACATAATAGTTTTTTTAAATGTAATGATCAAAACTAAAGATCAATCTCAAATCTCTCATTTTGGGGCAAGTTAATCAAAAGTGTTGTGACTGATAAGTTGCAGGTATTCTTGGAAGAAACTGATAGTCTAAATCCATTTCAGTCTTGGTTTAGATCGCAATATGATACTGAAATAGGTTTGATCACCCTTGCAAGATGATCTCCTGAGGGGGACAGACAAGCGGAATGTAACCCTATTGGTTGTTCTGGATCTTTCTGTGGACTTTGATATTGTTGACCACAATATCCTTTGGGGAAGGCTATCAAGTTTAGGGATAAGAGGCTCTGTTTTTGACTGCTTCCAGTCCTTCCTTGATGGCTGATCCCAGATGGTAGACTATGGGGATGCTGTTTCCATCCATTGGGATCTCTGCTATGGGGTCCCACAAGGGTCAGCAATCTCCCCAATGCTCTTTACCATCAACATGAAATCTCTGGGGGAAGTCATTCAGAGATTTGGGGTTCACTGTCACCACTATGTTTATGACATCCATTATATCATCTGCAAGGAATGCTGTACAGGTCCTTAAACTCTGCCTAGTGTTGATAATAGAGAGGGTAAATGCCAACTGAATCCAGATAAGATAGAGATCCTACAGTTAAGATAATAATTGGGCCACATAGAGGGAAATTTGCCTGGTGTCAGGATCTGGCCCACACTGCCCTAGCAGCTGCAAGATTGGGGTTAGCCTGAGCCAGGAATGGCCTGGTGTTTGCAGGCTCAGGCCTTGGCCTATGTAACAGCTGCTGGGCCACTCATGAGGCTCACCTGGAGGAAAGACCTATTTAAAAAGTGGTTCTCCCTCCCTGAACTTGCCTCAGCAACAAGTGTATTTGGCTGCTCCAGAGTCCTTGTGTTTCAATATTATTACATCTCTGCATCTTGACTCCAGTGTTTCTGTTCCTGCCTTGGTCCCTGCTCTTGCCTCTGTTTGCTGCCTATATCTCTGCCTTAGGACTCCAGTGTTCCTGCATCTGCTCCTGTTCCTATATTTGCCTTGACCCTTGCTCTTGTTTGCCTCCTACATCTTGTTGCCTTGTTCCAGCTCTGTTCTCCCACCCCTGTGCTTCTTGCTTGGTCACAACCAATTGTGCAGTGAGTGTTTTTGGACTTGATACTCTGTGTGGTGGACTGGGTCCTGGTACCTTTGCCCCTGGTAAGAGGCTGCCTGGGATATCTTGGACTGTGACACTTGGTCTTTATATGGTTACACTTCCCCTGAAGGATCAGATCAGCAGCTTGGAGGTATTCCTAGACCTGGCATTTCTGTGGAAGCTCAAATACCAGCCATGGCCAGGATTGCCTTTTATCAACTCCAGCTGATTGCCCAGTTACATCCCTACCTGGATAAGAAAGGCCTAGGAACAGTGGTTCATGTATTGGTAGTCTCAAAAATAGACTACTGTGGTGTTCACTATGTAAGGCTGCCCTTGAAAACAGTATGGAAACTTCAACAGATCATGCTCTGTGCCAAATTGGGGGGGGGAGGCAGGTATTAAAAATCGAAGCAATGATGATGCCCTGTCAGATTATCCTTCCACTTCAGAAGCACCACTGGATTGCTTCAGTTATGAATGAAGAGGAAAAACATTTGATTGTTGTATAGTTTTAGTTGTTTATGAGCCATCTTGGATGGGGAGAATGGCAGCATATATACATAATACCTAGAAGCATTTTTTTCTTGGGATGATAATACATAAGTACCAAAATGCTTGCACTGCTGTCTTGTGTGAGCCTACTCTGAAGGAAGCCCTACTGATTTCATTTGGACATTTCCATATATATATGGTATTTCCAGGTATACTGTATATGGTACCCAAATTTACAATGATATTTCCCAATGGAATCTTCCATTATAAAATTGGATGCATTGTGTGTTGTTAAGCTTCTCTTCTAAAAAGCCAGGAAATTCAGTGTGCAAAGGGTCTCCTCATGATTGAGAAATCAGTTCTTGTTTAATTAAAAACAGCACTGGTTGTAGAGGATTATGTCCTTTTCATGCTGTCATTCTTCTCACATGGAAAGTGGTGACAGAGCAGTTGGAGCTATGTGTAGTTTCTTCCTCATGGGTTGACCGAACTCATTTAGTGAATGCTGGAAGAGCACTCTTATCTTCATTGAGTGAGTCCCATGTGTACAAATCAGTTGATTTACAGGTCTACTAAACTAGTCTTCAGACTATACCAACTGGTCTTTCGTTGGGCTGAACATACATGTAGACATTTAGCGTCAGAACTAGTTTACACTTTCTTAGGGATTTGGGTCAATCAATTGTTTGGATCCACAAAAAGTTAGGTATACTCAGCCCCCATTGAAATCTGTAATATTGAAGTGCAACATAACTTGATGATTAATTTATATCAGTAGTTCCCAACCTTGGGTAACCCAGGTGTTCTTGGACTGTAATTCTCAGAAACCTTAACTCTGCTGGCTGGGATTTCTGGGAGTTGCAGTCCAAGAATATCTAAGTTACCTAAGGTCGGGAACCATTGATTTATATGATTAAGCCATTATATGAGCCTCGTGGCGCAGTGGTTAAAACGCTGTACTGCAGCTAAAACTGTGCTCACGACCTGGGGTTCAAATCCCAGGTAGCCGGCTCAAGGTTGACTCAGCCTTCCATCCTTCCGAGGTCGGTAAAATGAGTACCCAGCTTGCTGGGGGGGCAATGTGTAGCCTGTATAATTAAAAAAAATTGTAAACCGCCCGGAGAGTGCTTGTAGCGCTATGGGGCGGTATATAAGTCCAATAAATAAATAAATAAATAAATAAATTTATCTTTAGTGTGCCGTTGTTGCTGCTGCTGTAACTGCATTCTAACAGCTATCTTCTTTTCTTTCTAGTTAATGGTCTAATGGCAATTGGATTTCCAGGTAAGAAGTTATTTCAATTGTTTTTGTTTTTCTTGGCTCGTTTCAAATCGCAATTTGAAAAATACCTGTTTCTGGTAGATTCAGGTTATATTAGAATATAATTACAAAGTGATTGTAGTAGAAAACATGAGTTATTTAAATAAACTCTAAAGGTTTGCAATAGTCATACATTGTTGGAGTCAGTGAAATGAGCAGGCTGATAGTTTATGTAGTCACAAGTAATTAGGATAGCAAATAGTCTTAGAGAAGTTAAAGAAGTCAGCCACATGCACAGAAGGATGTCTGCCAGCAGTCCTCCTGATGGGCGACTAGAAGAAGAGGACCTCAAATATGACAACTGCCCTGCCCCCAGGAGTTCTGTGTTTATTAACCTTCCAAGCTCATAGATAGTTGACAGTATACAGATAGTTTGCAGAGTTCAGATAGGACAATGGTTACATATTGTCATTATGATTGGCCCAAGCAAAGGCAATTAAGCAAGCAAGCTATCACCTATGAGAAAGAAGAAGAATGGGTAGCAGTTCCTCCCAGAAGCAGCTGTGACATCATCCAGGAGAGTTTGCTGTACTACTGTAGAATAAACCAACTTTCAGCTTAGCAACTTTGGGGAGGGGCATTTCCCTACAATACATGGCTATTTTTAAAAATCTGAATAGAGAGACCAAATGAAGGAAACAATCATACCAGCATAATTAGGTATGGAATAGTTTTGTTTTCCTATGCATATTTAGGTTGAAAAGTTGGTGTTTATGCAAATATAAAGCAGCCATGCTTCAGGAATCATGGTGAACACATTTCATCCTCCGCATACTTTGTCAGTGCTGCCACAATGATAGATTTATTTGGTATCTTTACTTCTACATTCTCTCTCATTTATAGCCATGCTCACAAACAAGAAGCCAATTTGTCTCACATGTTGATGCAAGTACTTCTCGCAATGATTTAAAAATACACTATCACACTCAATGACAGTCTATGTTCGGAGAAGAATGGAGCCATCTCACCACTGTGGGATGATGTGCCCCCTGCTAGGTCCACTGAGTATTGGTGATCACACCACTAAAATGCTGCTTATTGACTTGCTTTGACGTTTGAATCTAGCTTGTACTAGATGTCATCTCAGGAAACATATTCAAAAGAAGAATTGTTGCATTAAAGCTGTGTTTTCCCCTGCAAAGTCTCCCTCTTCTCTTACATCATTACATTTTTTCCATAAAGGATTAGCAATCCTTAATGTGTTCCTTACATTTTCTTTGGGGCTTATTTAGATAGCATATTCCTGACACAGATTATGTTATTTGTGTAGCATATTCATAATTCTAGCAACACTAGTTTCATTCACACATTCAATTCATCACTAGAGCCATTCAATTCATCACTAGAGCCACTGTGATGTAGAGAGCTGAGATAACCTCTGTGATTAAGAGAGCTGAGATAACCTTTAAGTTTCACCTGAATAGTGAAACTTAAATCCAGCATGGCAAACTGTGGTCAGGCAGCCTTTTCAGTTTTTGAGCTGGCCAATCGCAAAGTGTTCTTTTCTCTCTCCTCTCTCTCCCTTAAAAGCTGTTGATTCTTATTGCCCAGCTTGTCAATGCGGGAATGGGCACTGGAAATTAGACCTGTGGTGTGGTTCATGCAGCAGCGAAAGAAAGGAACCACAGACACATAGCAAGTCGTTTTCCTTTGTAACAGATAGAATTTGCTAATTCAGTCAAGAAGTAATAGTAGTAGCAGCATAATGTGTACAGTGGCTGATTTGGCATGAAAGTATAATGTCTGCTGTCTAGAATGAGTCTAGAATGAGACTTTTTTTTGTCAGCTGGAAGAATTTTCCCATCTAGCATTTTAAAGGAACCGGTGCGGGCGGCAGCAGCACAAGATATGGGCATTGTGATAATATTTGTGTTTGCTTCATTTGGTAAAGCTTGTTAATTTATTTTTAAACTGAAATTAACTGAAGTCATTGGTCTTTTCTACCTTTGTTAAACCATATGCAAAGATTTAAGGAAAGCAAAAAATATTTTAAAATATATTGCAGAACCAGCATTACAAATGAATGCATATTTATTGTTGAGGGGGAAAAGCATCACAATCTGATTGCAGTCATATGTCCTTGTTCCTGTCTAATGTCACCCATAATTTGATGGGATGCTGTAAGTGACACATTGGTTTACCAATTCCTATAAAGGTTAGATCACATTAGAAGAAGCACTAATGTAGGTCTGCACTGCTTTGCAAAATAGGACCCTCTTTTTTAAAAGAGGAGAAAACATGTTGCAGACATCTTGCATAAGAGGTAAAATTTAGAGTTTTGTACTGTAATTCTCTCCAAAGAGAAATGAAGATCAATAGATTTTTCTATCTTTGTTTAGTTGAACAGATCTTTTCTTTTTGTTCTAGGTGCAAAACAAGGCATTGTCTGCAATGAATCCTTCATGTTACAAAATTTGCCAGTGTGTGGGAAATCCTTTGAAGAAATGATGTACAAAGTGGATTCTAAAAAATGGTGCAATCTAACAGAATTTATCCTGTAAGTATTATACCTGGTTGTCTATGGTATATTCCTGTGGTGTCATCCTTGTTGGAATGGTTTGGAATTTGGTTGTTCTCTTAGAAACAGCAGACTCAGACTTGCCTTCTCCCACAGAATAGGAAAAACATTATCTTGTTGCTTCTCGGTTAAAGGAAGCCATTGAATAAAGCAAAGCAAAACATCCCACACCTTAGATTCTATAGCTCTGTTCAAAGAGAGATAAAAAAAATAAATCGTGATATTTGCCAGAAATTGCCAGTTCATTGCATAGTCATTGTTTTGTATTGATCCAATATGGAGACCCCAACAAATACAAAGTGCCAATGTTTTACCCATTGTTGATCCGTCTGTCCCCTTTTTGGGTCTCCTGTGCTATCTGGCGCCTGCTGCTCAGAAGCTCTGAGCAACCTTGGGAGGGACCTAGAGACTCCTGGATTGGCAGGGCAGGCAGGCAATAGAGCTTCTGAAAGGGCTGTCGGGGTATACTGTTTTTCAGAGGCTTTATAAGCATTTTCCCTGCAGCCATTGCTGCTGTATTCAGCTTTTCACTGATGTGGCAGCAAAGCAAACACTTTTCTATTTTACATTTAATTCATTTATTTCATTATTATTATTTCAGTAACTAGTTATTTTTTGAGTTTTAGAGTTGGTGATCCCTAGGAATGTATGTGTATTACCCTTTGCCCCCCCCAATTTATTCCTCTGTGTGTGCGTGTGTGTGTGCGTGTGTGTGTGTGTGTGTGGACGTCCTAGGTGGTTGCTTGCTGTGCTCCAGCTAGTGCTGTGTGCTGAAAAAGCACATATTAAATAAAAAAAATCTTTTCATTTTCATTGATGGAATACTGGGGAGAGCTGAAAAATTAGTAATTTTTGAGGAGTGTGTTTTGCTGGGTGTGTGATTTCTTTAGGTTTGTGTGGGTGTGTTATTTTTGCTGGGTATGTGATTTCTTTAGGTTTTACCCTACCTATTTATTCCAGAGTGCTTCTGGGTGGTTGCTTGCTGTATGCTGCAACCACTACACCGGTGTGCTGAAAAAGAATATATTGAAATAACTTTTTTTCTTTATTTTCATTAGTGGGAAATTGTGGGAGGGTTTTCTTTAGTCAGATCACATTTTAGTTTTCAAATTGCTTATTTTCTAGGCATACATTCAGGCAGGGTGGCTGTGGTGGGGACTGGGTGTCTATTTAGTAGAATACCATTAGATTTCTTGCTCCTTACCCCCTGTTACTCTTTTAAAAAAATTAAAAATGAGAAAAAAGTCAATTCCCCCACCATCCTACAGCCATGCAGAAAGCAACAAGAAAAAGC